TCTGAGAAGAAATGCAGCCCATTTAACACTACACCAAGCATCTTTCACATCCAAACCCCTCTTCTGCAGTATCCTCACAGGAAACATATTGGTTTATCCATCTTAAAAACATGGTTAAACTGAGGCTTGGAAAAAAGAAAGTGACTCACCAAGGTCAAAATGCATGTTAGGTACAGAGCTGCGGGGAGAAATCCTGACTCAGATTCCCAGCCTTCTGCTCTACTGCTTCCTTTCCTTGCCTACATTTAGGAACTGATTATCTGAATGCCCCATTCAAACAAAAGGTGTTGAATGGAGACAACTTTGCTTCTTAAGGTGGAAGCCTTCCATAAGAATTTCTAGTTGTTCTTCAAATGAAGATGTACAAGTTATTACCTGCTATGGGTAATTACACTAATAGACAAAATCCAAGCCTCCTGTATCGTATACAGCTCTCCTATATAATTCACACTATTATCTGCTACCTGGCATCTGTGTCTGCATCCAGATTCACCATATTCTGAAGCACCCCTTTTTATAGCTATAAGGATGAACTCAGAGCACAGCTCAGGCTCTGAATATTTGGAGTCCAGTTCATGCTCACCAAACTGGGAAAGCCTTTCTGTACTTCTCCATCTTGCTGAAGAGTAAATTAATGGACTGCAATTAATACAGGAGGGTCACAGCTAATACAACTCCTTGTTTTTATTCAGTGTCTGGAAGAGGCCATGAATACTTGGATTGAGTCACATTTCTTGGTTTTTCCTGTTAGTAGGAACACAGAGAACTGGACATGTAATCTCCTAATGCTCTGCTTTGTGCCTCCAGCTACACTTAATCCACAGATCAAGACAACAGTTTGTTGCTACTACTAGCTGAAATAATTACAGTGGAAGTGACTGATGAACCTGAGAAGAATCAGAACAAAGACAGCCTACAGTTAGAGCATTTTCTCCCTCTGACCTCCTAATCAGAGAAATCTAGATTCCATTGAATAGGAGAAAGATGACCAGGAAGAGCAACAGCATCCCTTTGATGGCAAAGCCAAGCAAGAAAACTAACCCTTCCATTGCAAGGCTTTCACTGGACCAAAACCTAAACAAGCACTCAGTTTGGTTATGCTTGAGACTGGCTTTTGAAACACTCATCTAGGCCCCCTGTCCTTTCACTGGTTCTGGATGCTGCATGCTGTGTCCTTGTGCCTTTGCATGCAGCCTGGCTTGGGGAGGCCTCTGCGCTCTGAGTCGCGCTGCTCTGCATTTCATGGGCCATAATAAACTATTGGCAGGTTTAACATGATAAGGAGCAAGGCAGAATATATTTCTGTCATTTCACTTACATAAAGAGCAATGAGTCTGGTCTCCCTGTCTCAGTCTTGTGCTATTAATAAAGTGCATGTGAGGAATACACAGATTTACAGCACGTGTGGAACCTGACAGCATAACTAGTCTCTAGCTAGAATACTTTCCATGCCGTGTGTCTCCATATAGCCCTTCTTTCTGGGACATGCGGCCCAGAAATGTGTCATTGGGACACACAGAGTCACTGGACTGACGAAAGGAATTCAAGGGAAACAGAAGTAACAATGCTGCTTCTTCCAGTCTCTCCATGAAAAAGTTAGACATGGAAAAGATACCATCATCCCACGCGGGCCCTGGTTTTACCTTTCATACAAAAGGCTTTTATGTAAAGCCCTATTTTCCCCAGAGATTATTAAGAAAAAGGAACTAAGACTCCACAACCGTTAGTTTTTAGAAGCAAATAATCATTCTCATGCAATGGCTGAAAGGCAGACTTGTACCTAAAGCCTCGCAACCGGCATCATGGACATTTATCATTGTCCAGCCACAATGTTGTAAATAAAACTAAGCCGAGCCCGCAAAGAGAACACACACACTGGATTGTAGCATTCTTCCACAACTCATAACCGAGGCTGCGGTCAGCAACATGGGGTGAGAAAGACATTTGGTTCTAAGTCATGACTTTAATCAGACAATTACTGGCATCTTGTGGAAACCTTCCAAATTAAATGGATGTCCAAATTAGAGACATTCAGACTAAAGATGAAACATCACAAAGAAGCTCTTTTGTCTCGAATAAATAGAACCAAAACAGTCAAATGCTCAGGAAGATAACTGATACAACATTGTTCCCTTGGGCATCTTTGTTAGTGATTTACCCAGTGTGTTTTAAATGCCTAAAACAATGAAACTAGTGGACAAGCTATTCTAGTCCTCTGGGCATGAACTGTCCCTCCTAATCTCTGCTCAGCAGGTCTCCCCACAGCCACATCCTTCTGCTGCCCCGCTTCTTCCCTTCAGCCTCCCGCCGGTGATCAGTGCAGCCCTCAGGATTTCCACCTCCCAAACCAGAGCATCCCCTGCTCCCACTGCCCTGACCTCCACCGGGCCTATTCCCAACTCCTGTTTATGACTGTCACTCATGGTGCCAAATCTAAACTTGGATTGTCAGCACTTGGGGGTAAAGCTCCCATTGTGCATGGCACGAAGCTCCCGTCTCACTGCCCCTGCACGCTGTAGGTGAGGATGAGCATCTGAACTGCCCAAAGGGATGATGGAAAGAAAGAACCACAGCCCTCAGGCTGGATTTGGTTTGAAATCAAGGGTAAAACTGCCACTGGCATCAAGAGTGCTGGATCAGGCAGGAAGGGGCTGATCCTGAAGGCCCTAAGTGCCTCTTGAAGGTTCTGCATCTTCTCTATGGCAAGAGATTTCATCTTCCACTTTCAAGTCCTAAAGCAAACAACCCATTTTAATGAGAGCCATGAAACTCCTCCAGCAACACCTGTTAGAAAGTTATCTGGCATGAAAGACACACAGCATGAGAGAACCCCGAGATGCAGGGGCCACCACAGGGTATTTTATCTTTCTCACTGTATTTTCCCCAGAAAGAATAAAGGAGACAGAAAGTACAAAGTGAGATTATGTCACAGCAGAGGAAGGTCTCTGCTTATGGGAAGATGAACCTTTTCCACTGAAATCAAGTCATCTTCAAAAGATGACTGTTTTCTGCACTGCCGGGCACTCTGCAGAGTTGTGTATAATCTCTCCACTTCCTATTCAAGGCCAGTATTACCCTTGTATTTTATGTAAAATACTTATATATTACATCATATATATATAAAATATATATTATATTAAATTATATATAACATTATATATAAACATATATAACATCAGCTCAGCTGATCTTAAATCCTCTACAAGTCCCATTACTAATTAGAATAAGGAAGAACATCAATGTAAGTGGCAGGGGTTTTATTACATCAGACTGACAACAGATACTTCAACCTAGAAAACAGTCAAATCATGTCTTGGATATAGTGTTCCATTATCTGTGAATGGATTATCTGGGCCATGGAGGACTGACCCCATGTTTTCTCATACAGTTTTGGCTGTGTCACAGCCAGGACAGAGTCACACCTGCTGACAGTTCCCTGGTGCCTGAGGTTATCTCTGTGCTCTGAGGAGATGCTCTTACTGCATTTTAAGAGATGAACACAGAGCATAGTCGCTGTCTCCCTGGCACATGTTTTGTATTAGCTGTGGGCAATCTCCCCCTCCCTCTCCCTGCCCTTCTTCATGATGTGGGTATCTGGCTGCAGACCTCTGAAGGAGCAGTTTTGGTAGTACCACAGGGGTGGAATTATGAAAGGAGCTCGGTCCTATTAATACCTTCATTATAAGAACAGAAAGGCTGCATAACACAAAGCTTCTGCCTTCCAGACCCCTATGTTTCAGATCTCATCCTGCATCCAGCTGGCAATGCTGACACGTCTACACAGGCCAGGCTCCCTCCTGCACAGAGTTCATCAGCCCAGGGTTTGTCTGGACTTCAAACAGATTCTGGTGAGGTTTGATCATGCATAAATCAAAGCAGCAGCCTGCAGAAAAGCAGGGTATGGGCAGCAGTGACCTCCAGTTCTCTTTGCAAACATCCCCTTGCTCTATTTGTATGTCTGTTGATGAGCAACAGCGGGGCTCCAGGGTGCTGAGGCACTCTGGGGGCTCTATAGCAGCAGGAACTCTTCGCTCAGTGGGGAGGAGCTGGGAGCCTCAGGCTAAAAGAACTGGCTGGTCACTATCCAGACCACAAGGATTTCAAAACATATGGTACCCATGGGCTGGATCTACCCACTTGCAGCACATTGCCTTCTCCCTGTGCCGTCTATTCCCTTCCAAAAATCCCACAACTGCTTTTAGTGCAACTTAGCTCAGCTCAGTCAGACCATATCTGATACAACCATTCCATTCACAGTTTCCAAACACTCCTTTAACTATAGCCCACATAGCGGAGACAGACACCCTACTAAGCTGCACAAACACCTTCTCCACACTGCATTCACCGGTATCCAGAGAGAAAGAGCACACACACACCTCAGGATGCAGCATCTGACTTGGAGATACCTAAGAAAAGCCAAGCAAGGCAGCAGAAGCATCCCAGACCTGAGGGATTAACCTGTTTCATTGGAGCTGAACAAGCACCTCAGCCCACGCGGGCACGATTAAGCACAACAACAAAAGCCTGTTTTACATTATTTATATATATAAACATAGAGCACATTATTTCAGGGTATTTCTTCTTACCAATACTATCCTTTACGGAAGATTGAAGAAGCGAGGCTTGTAGTCATTTGTGAACAGCAGGAGGTGAAGAGCTGGGAGGAAATGCACACCTAAGAGTCACCAGATAGCAGCAGACCCTTCCTTTCCTATTTTCTACTTGTCTGATAAACTTGTTCCATCCATTACACTCTTATTGAACTGAGATTTGCTTATTTACTTGGCTATTAGCACTCAGCGACACAAGGGGTTGTGCTTTTCTTCCTACTGGATGGAATTGCTATGAGCTTCCAAAGCAAAGCGTCCCCCCTCCCACCCCATATCAGCTCCCACACATTCAGTTTGGGACTGTGACTTCTCTGAAGTATCTAGTGATATAAATTCGTGGAATAAAGGGGGCAGGAGCCTTAGGCCACACATAAGTGAGCATGGCTCCACCGAGATAATACACCTCAGCTCCAGGAGGCTGGTAATGGCAAGTTGTTTTCATTGCTTTCATCATTAGAGATCTATATATGGGCTGGCAATCACGTGGCTTCCTGCAGTTCAGCTTCCCTGCTTGTAAACACGTGCCACAATTCCACTTTCTGGTTGCTGGAAACGGAAAGTCGGGGACTTCTCAGTAAATTCTGCTCCTCCAAACAAGTTACAGTTATGAAATCGTTTTCCTTAACGCCTGCTAATCTTCTACAACTGCACGCTGCGGCCGTATCCTTCCTGTACGAAGCTTGGATTCGCTGGCATGAAGGTATGAGATTTCATACATGTCACTGTTTACCATAGAATCCAGCCTGGTTTGGGTTGGAAGGGACCTTAAAGCTCATCCAGCTCCAACCCCTGCCACGGGCAGGGACCCCTTCCACTGGAGCAGCTTGCTCCAAGCCCCTGTGTCCAACCTGGCCTTGAACACTGCCAGGGACGGGGCAGCCACAGCTTCTCTGGGCACCCTGTGCCAGCGCCTCAGCACCCTCACAGGGAACAGCTTCTCCCATGCATCTGCCATGGAAGTGCCCAGCTCCAGCACTGATCCAGCTGCAGAAGAACAATCTCTATGCAGCAGTATGTATTTGGATAAACTAAGAAATGATGGCAATATACAGGGAAGAGGAGAAGGGAGATGAGGAAAGCAACAAGTAAGATGACGCAAATTACATCAAGCTTGAAAGACCTTGTCAAGGCCTTACCCTGCTGTCCTTCCTGATAAACTAAAATGAATCCCACTTAATTCCAGTGCCATTCACATCCAGACTCATGTGCATGTCTGGCTATCTCTAGGATATACATTAGGAAACTAATCAAAAGCACCTGATGGCATCAGCCAGATAAAGGTGTCTGACATTCCCTCTACAGCCCAAAATGTTGGAAAAATATAAATGAGGTTTTGTGCTGACTCCAAAATAGCATCACCTGGCCACTGCTATGGCCCTGGGGTGTTTGCTTCAAATACTGTCTTGATAACAAGCTCATGTCACAGCCACATACACAAATCCATACATAAAGGAGATTAGAGGTCACAGCTCCTTAGAAGATGCCCTGTTAATATAGAAATACAAAATAAGTCTTTCTACAAACAAAAACATGATCCAAAGGCACTTCATTAAGTGAATTGATCTGTTTCTACAGCTTTGCTCTGTAATAACCTATAGCAAAAACCTGTAACAGTTTAAGGGTGCCATCACAGAGATGAGCTCTATAATCAGCAGTAACAGGAACAATGAAGAATGAGAATGGGAATAGTTAGACTCCATGAGGGCATCAAATATTCCTGCTAGTCCTCTAGAAAAAGAGCCCTGCAAAGAGGATGCCGTACACCTTGAGATGTTTACAGGTAGTATCACATAACAACCCAAACAAATATAACAGAAAGAGACTGGAGATTAAGTGTACCTAAAGAGATAGACTGGGTCAGCCATAGGGCTACATTAGTGCTGTCCTAAAGCCACCAGTCACTTGAGTCATAACCCAAGCTGGCCATGAATATCCTATAATGTGCCCCTAAAGCCTTTCTTTACCTTGCACATGTGATAACTGTGATAATCTCAAGCATCATGCTGAGATCTCTACTTTCTTTCCCATGGGTTATTTTGCACACTGGAAAAGGGTATTTGGGGAAAACGTTTGGGAAAGTCAAGTCACATGTTTTAATGTGAGAAACCAGCCTGTCTGACATGAGATGTTCCGAGCTCAGCATTAAACAAGAGTTATCAGTTTCTTACAGGGAAACACACATAGCTTTGGAAGTCAAAACCATCTTCCACATGATCGGAACAGAAACCTCAGGCTTGATGTCTGTGCATTTGACACGGAATACAGAAGCCTCCGAGTTAGACTTGAGCATGTTCCAATGGCTTCCAAATAGCCTGAAGGGCAGCTCCAAAACTAAAGGTAATTATGAAAATAAAACCATGAATTTCTCAAACCAAAGCCTTGGTTTAAACCCTGAAAAGAAACTTGTGGAGACTGGTCCATGCTGGATCGCTAAAACTGGGTATACGGGCTGGTTCTACATCAATCTGGTCATGTCTGAAGCACGTCTGTGAACAACCTCTATGGCTTGTACTTAAGATACACGCTTAAAAGCTTTAACTGAGTCTTACCTACAAATTCAGTCTAATCCTGCAAAATTAGGTGCCATCAAGAGCAAAGCTCTCAGGGCCCTTGATACAGAGGCCTGAAGGTTAGACATCACTTTCTTGATCAATTAGCTGCTATTTCAAATAGCTGTGAAGGCTTGGCATAGATTCATTTAGTCTTAAAAAGGTTCATAAAGTCTTTGTCTTGCTAGAAACAAGCAGAAACAGAGGGTTTCCTTGCTCACAAGTCCCTAGGTCTGCCTCACCAGTGGGTTAAAGGCTCCCGAAACCCTACTTCTTGCTCTCGCTCACACCACCATCCCCTGGCTTCCCCTCTTCTCTACCATCTATGGGTCAATATTAGAGCCCCTGTAACAGCAATTAGGGCAAACAGACAATTTGGTTGTGCCTTACTCTCTTGTGGCACCTTGCTCAGCACTGGAGCAGGACCTGTCCCTCCATCCTTGATCCTGAAAGACAGCACCTAGGAAAGCCACTGGCTGAAAAACCCTCCCTGCCTGTGAATACCTCTCGACATAACACTATTAAATAAATATCACACAATGGTGTTGACTTTCCCTCTGCGTTGTACCTAGCACGTAGCCACAGCCGGGTATTGCACCACACGCACCTTAATGTTTGCTTTTTGATGAAGGGCTGTGTTGGCTTGCCAGCCTCCAGGCCCATTTCCCACCCCAAATTGAACCTGCGCTGTTGCTGTACTCCCTTCTAATTGCCCAGAATCTACTGCTTGTCTCCTCCATGCCCTGGGACTGTTCAAGATACCCATTTCATGGTGCTGACACTCCTATTAGACTGATGCTAGTTTGGTAATGTAAAAGCCCACCTGACTTAATAGGATTCTCTTTCTTTCCTGTGACTTCCAGAGGAGAGTTCCATAGGTTTCCACAAACTTGAGCTGTACACACCTTACCTTGGCCACAAACTAATTCCACCAAAACCCAGCTTAGCTTCCACATCATGGTATCCAGCTCAGCACCGGGGGCTTCTCATAGAGCAGTCCAAGCACGTCCCCCTAACCTTTTGGGAGAGGCACTTTGACCTTCCAACTTCAGCTCTAAAACTTCATTACAACCTTAAAAAGCCTCCATCTCTTCCCACCGGCAGTGCTGAATCTTAGTTTTGCTTGGCAGATCCTGTTTGCCAGACCTCCCTCTCCTCACCCCATATCTTTCCCTCTGGAGCTTTCCTTGCTCCCATCTCCCTAACCATCCTGGGCTCCTTTCCAGAGAGCTACTTCTAAAAACATAGCAGCATGCTATAAACAGGCCAGCCCTGTCAGCTTTAAACCCCACTTGAGATACTGTTTCCGAGGCAGGAGAGGGGAAAAAGAGTATTCCAAGGGGACCCCTGTGACGTGACCATCCATCTGCCTACATCAGCAGTTCCCAAGCTCATTTCCAGGCTCATGACCTCCCTTCCATCAGTGCTCCTCAGGGGTTGTGACCCCAACTTTGGAAACTTCTCATCTGGATCAGTCAAAAGTGACGCCTCAACAGTGATTTTCCAGTCAGTGCCACGTTTGTTTATGCTGTGATTACCCTGAAGTTCAGGTTTAAACTTGTCTCTTTGCTTGTTTGTAAGTCTGGAAAGAATTTCTGGGTGTCACTCAGCCAGCAGACAGTGAACTCCGTCACTTTTGACTGTTCTGCTTAGGACATTGATATCCCAACTGACCTGGTATGGCATTAAGCACTTGGCTGCAGAGTTCAGCTGTGCCTGGGTGAAGCAGGGATTTTCTGCAGAGTCTGGAAACATCATTGTCATCTCTCCTTGCACATCACAATCACTCAGGTACAAGTTATTAACCCAAATCAATCCTTATACAGTAACACGGCTTTATCTACAGCATCATATACCCTCCTCGCTGCCTCCTACACAAGTGCAATTGGATGAACCCTGTTCTGCACATCAGTTTGTCTTTCTCCTTATGATCATTAAGAACACGTGGTTAGTGGAAATCTAACATTCAGATTTCAACTCTGCTTTGCCATTTTTGCTCAGTCATAAAAGGGAAAATAACAGCAAAGTGGTTTGAACAGATCTTGGAAACCCACTGCTACAAGTGCTAAACTTCCAGAACATCAGCAATTTGGATGTGCTACGGCTGGTCCTGCTTTGGAATTTCCCTGGAATTAAAATAATTGGGACTTCATTAGCTGCCTGTTTCTCCTGTTTTCACAGCACATCCCTGCTCAGCTCTTGTGTCTCTGTAGTCATGGTTCTGCTCCTGCATTGAAGACCAGTTCCATTAGCTTTGCTGCCCACAGGCTCTCTCTCCCCTGGTACTCTCTAAGCCTAAAGCAGTTGTTTGACTTCCTTTGACCTCAGTATATTTCAGTGTTACTGGTTTTCAATTTAAACAGCCAAGAGAGATCTGCCTAGACACACCGGGCTGGAATGTGGGGAATGCAAAGTGGAAGCTTAGCAGTAGCTGCAGCACCTGGGAGCAGCCAGCCTTGGGAAAACAGAACAGAAACGTGGAGTCTAAGGGTGTGATAGGAGCCACCATCATCCATGCAGCCGAGGGGGTTCAAGTTGCTGAAGGCTAACGGAGGAGACAGAGAGGAGAAAGTCCTTTGGGGTCTGTGGCTTTACATCACTCGGGCACATGCGAGCACACAAGGCAAGGGGGGGTACAAGCCCTTTTGCAATTATTCAGGCTCCACACAAGGTTTAAGCACCTGACTTTGGTCGCTGCCAATAAAAGAGATTAGGCTGAAAAGGTTTCAGCATGAAAGGCAACCACTGAAGCCAACATCAGGGCTTCTCTTGCCCTCAGATATGAGGGCAAAGCCCCACGGCCTGGCAGCGCAGGCCAGCAGAGGAGGAAAACGAAGTCAGGCTTTGTTAGAATGGAGCACGGTGAGAGCCAGAGCACGTCATCAGCAAGGAGAAGCTCCTGTTAGAGCCTGCAGTGATTTGCATGAGAGCATCATTTGTTTTCCACTGTACAGCTCTGAGAAGGGCTGCTGGTCCCCACTGAATTATAGATGGGTTTCTCTTTCTTCCTGTCTTTTGTTGAGCACACTGTGCTTCTGAAAGTGCACCAAGGGCAGGTTTGCTTTCCACCTTCTCTTGTGCCGTTATGAAATGGAAAACTGGTGGAGACATCAAAGCCATCAAGCTCCAGAAGCTGGTGTAGAATAGAGCACACTCTGGGAAATCTCTGCCTGAGACTTTTCCAGTTTCAAGCAGGGAGATCAGATGGACAGGAGATTGCAGGTTTGGGGGACATTACCTGGTGGATTTTCGCCTTCTTTTCTTAAATACATGTATTTGGATTTGTTTCAATTAAGATGGGATTAAAAGCTTTACCAGACAGGATGGAGCACTGGACAGATCCCAGATCTGCAGACACTAATCCAACCTCATGGCTACAGAACATGTACCTTCATGACTAGTGATCTATGGGAAGGAAAAACTGTACTTTTAAATGGAAAAGAGACACTAAAATCAACATAATTGTGTCATCCTGGTAATGCACATTACAGGACTGGTGGTCCCCACCTCTGCATAGACTAGGTGGAACTTGGTAAGAAAAGAAAAAGCAGGTGAACAAGCAAAGATAAACCCTCTTTTTGAAGAAAATGCCCATTATCTAAGGTTCATGGCTGAAAAACTAATTGCACCATAGCCATTAGAGCCACACAGTGTCTGCATTATCAGGTTCGACTCCCCTTTGATTTATCAAACACACAGGCTCTTGTTCCCATGGTGTATGTAGCACGCTTTGAAGTGCCTGCTTCATATCTGGATAAAGTTCTCCTGTACAGGTGCAACATTTGTAAAACATCCAAGAAAATACAATGGGGCCTTTTAAAAGAGACTCCCCCATGCTGGAACGGAGCTTCTTCTCCTGCAGATTACAAACCTTCATTTGTGTGTTTGGGCTGATGCAAAGAAACCAAGCAGCACGTGGAAGTGTTGGTACATTCAACCTTATCAAAGACATTGAGGAGGTTTTCTGGTAGCAAGGTCAGATGCTTTATTAATCCAGTAGAATATAATGCTGGCAAATATGTTTTAGAAGAAGTGGATGTCAAAGGCTAAGGGACTGGAGTTCAGCTAGATGTCCATCACAGCTTTCAAAGACATATATAACCATAGTGGTTCATGTCATTACATGTTCATAGGGCTCTCCTACGACTGCATAGACAGGACTTCAGCAGATATCCCCAATGTATATGTTTTAGACATCAGGATACCAAAAGGCCTTCCCTAAACAAGAGTAATTTGGGAAGCAAGGAAGGTTGGGAAGGTGGGTAGAAGATGAAAGTGCTTTTGAAGAAAGAGAAGCCTTGCATACAAGCTGCAAAGCTAGGCATGAAGAGCAAGTCTAAAGTGAACTCTGCTGGCCGCTGACAGCCCTCTCTGAGGAATGAGAGTTGGCTCCCATTCCAAGGGCTGTACACACGGTGATGCTAAGGGATGCTCGATTTATTACATGGAAGATAATCATGTTTGTCCATTTTACTCATACATCTGAATTGGTGCCCATTAACCCTGTAAGCTCTAGAGAGGGGGAAACCAGCTGGTGGAAGAATCCTGCCGAATGGCAAGGGATATACTAAAAGTCTGTAATTGTGAGTAAGAATAACTGTCAGAATTCCTATGTGATCCTGATCCTGTCAAAGGGAAAGGATCTGGGCAAAATAAGATCTTACTTGTGAAACCGAAGAATCCATGTGTCCTCAAAAGGAGATGAACTCTGAAATAACAAGGATGCAAAAGGAATAATTCACCACCGTTTATTCTTGCCCTTCGTTGGCATGTTATTTCCCAAAAGGAAGACACATGGAACATGAGTGCAACTCCACCAACTCTCAAAGAAGCTTAACTTTATTCTAGGGTAACAGTATCACGTCTGAGACGCCAAATCTTCAACCCCAAAGATAGAAACATTTAATCCACATCTGGGAAATGACAATGACCCTTCAAACTGGGAGGCTGATGAAATTAAGACAACTTTCTTTAAAGGTGTTGAAAGGCACGAATGCCAAAAGAAGCCCAGGGAACCTGAAACCAGCAGTGCACAAGACTGCGTGAATCAGAGCAGCTCAGTGATGCTGAGGTCAAGCAGCCAGGGAAAAAAGCCCCCAAACAGATGAAAATAGAAGAGATGCCAGGCCATGGATATTTGAACCTGCATCTAAACATTTATATTCAGTGTAGCATTACCTATATATCACACACAGAAGCAGAACCTATTTCTGTGTGCTGCCCTTGAGGAACGCAGCAATATTGCCTTATGACATGACACTCGCTCATGAGACAGGCATTTCTCTAAATTAAGGGCTTTCTAATGCCAGAGAGTCTTTCAGACTGGCTTGTTTTTAGTGGATGTTTTAAATAGCTTGCTGCCCAGTGACTTGGAGTCACAAGTTTGTGCCATTGAGCAGTCAGAGCCTATTCCACAAATTCTGTGGGAAAATACCCAGATTTGCCTGGATAAATGAAAAATGGAGCCCTGCCTAATAGAAACTGCCTGGAACAGATTGAAGACAGGGGGAGATGTTTCCACAGCACCAGAGCTAAGCCTG